TCAACGCCGCGCTGGACGACCACCAGCACCCATTACCTGTACCGGAAGATATCTTTTCAAAACTGAATGGTGGTAAGTACTTTGCTAAACTTGATCTATCCGATGCATCCCTTCAACTGGATGCTGACGAAGTCCCGAGGGAGTTGTTGACGATCAACACTCATTGTGGGCTATCCCAATACAACCACTCGCCATTTGGTGTAAAATCGGCGCCAGCGATTTTCCAACAGCTGATGGATATCATGCTGGCGGGCGTTTCTGGAACCGCTGCATATCTTGCTGATATCACAGTGATGGGTCGAACACTAGAAGAACTATTTAGCCGCCTGGATGAAGTGCTTGGTTGTATACAGTCGTACGGTTTCCGGACCCGTGAGGATAAATGCACATTTTTCACGTCGATCATCAAATCCATCGGTTTTATCCCCGTAAAGGATGGACGTCGACCAGATCCGGAAAACGTAGAAGCCATTAGAAAAATGCCTCCACCAACAGATCTACAGTCCTTGCGTGCTTTTTGTGGGCTCATCAGCCAATACAGCGCATTCTTGCTTGAGATGCACCGCCTGCGTGCCCCGTTAAATAAGCTACTAGCCAAAGGCCAAACTTGGAACTGGACATCAGAATGCCAGAATGCCTTGGAACAAGTCAAGCCACTGCTGTCCACAAACTTGCTTTTGACTCATTTTGATCATTCCAAAGGGATTGTCTTAACCACAAATGCATCAAGTCATGGGATTGGCGCAGTAATTTCACACACGTACACCGATGGATCTCAGAAAGCAATCGCCCATGCCGCCAGAACACCTACGAATACCGAGAGGAATTACAGCCAGATTGAGAAAGAAGCATTGGCCATAGTATACGCGGTCAGGAAATTCCACAAAATGCTATACGGCCGCCGCTTTAAGCTTCTGACAGATCACAAGCCCTTGCTGGCTATTTTTGGTATGAAAAAGGGCGTCCGGCCCTACACAGCCAACCGGCTACAACGTTGGGCTCTTACCTTTGTGGGGTATGATTTCGAGATCCACTACCATTCGACAATTTACACTGACCAAGCGGATGCACTGTCACGCCTAATTGATTCTCACCAGCAAGAACATGAGTACACAATCATTGCCTCGGTCGAGATTGAACCTGACGTCAACTTCTGGTAACCGATGCATTGCACGGTCTAGCAGTTACCGCAGAAGCTGTACGAACCGAAAGGTTTGGGGAGCCAGTACTCAAGAAAGTTACACAGTTCCACAAAACAAGTTGGCCACGTTCATGTCCATCAGCCGAGTTGCAACAGTACTTTCAGAGGAGACACTCGCTCTCTATTGTAAACCATTGCATACTATTTTCGGAAAGAGTGGTCATCCCCAAGACATTTCAAGAGCGCCTTATTCGATAGTTCCACGCCGGGCATCCTGGAATCAACTGGATGAAGGCGCTTGCTCGCAGTTATGTATACTGGCTCTTCATGGACAAACAGCTAGAAGAAATAGCTAAACGCTGCCAAAAGTGCGCCAATGTCTTGAAAGCGCCACAAAAATCAGAACTCTATTCACGGCCCAAAGCTACTAAGCCATGGTGCCGCATCCATGTCGACTTTGCAGGACCGATCAATGGCAGAAGTTTCCTCATTATAGTCGATTCATGCAGCACGTGGCCTGAAGTATTTCTCATGGATAGCACAACCAACAATGCCACTGTATCAAAACTGCGCCAAACCTACAGCAGATTCGGCTGTCCTGAGACAATTGCAACTGACAATGGCACCCAATTCACTTCGGAAATGCTTACGGAGTTTTACAAGCAATGCACCCTCCAGCACCTTCGCTCGCCGCCGTTTCACCCACAGTCGAATGGCCAGGCAGAAAGGTTTGTCGATACGTTCAAGCGAGCTCTCCACAAATCAAAATAGGAGGAACGTATAGAGGAGGTGGTTGATCGGTTCTTTTTTCTCTACCGATCAACACCGAATCCACAAGCGCCAAACGGAGTTTCTCCAGCACAGGCTATAATGAACAGGAAGCTGCGCATGCCTTTCGACGCCATCCGACTGCGCTCGGAATCCTCTGTTGGTGAAAGAAACCGCAGAATGGAACAGGATTTTAACCGGCGGCATGGAGCAAAGAAGCGATCATTTACGCTTGGACAGAAAGTGCTAGTACGTGACTATCGGGAAGGCCATGCGAAATGGACGCCAGGGACGGTCAAAAGCAAGCGCGGAAACGTCGTGTATGACGTGATGGTGGGCGCACAGATCTGGGCACGGCATGCAAACCAGTTACGGCCAACATTGTGCCAACCAGAACAAGCAAGGCCTACCGACCTCCCGTTCGATTTATTGGTGGAAAGCTTCAACTTGCCGAAGGTAGCAGTGGATGAGTGCACACAGTTGAGCAAAGAATCCAGAACACGGACATCGGAACACAGTTCTCGGGCACTTCTGCCAAGGAGATGGATCGACAGACAGAGAACACCGTCCCGAAGACTTCAAGCTAATCCTTGGTTTTCGTCGTATATATCGGACGATATCTCAGGAGGACAGGTGTCCGGGAGAAAGTAAGAAATGCCTAGAAAATCCACCATTTTAGCGATTAACCCATTATCGTATCGATTTCGAATGTACCGGAATGTTCTAGCTTTTGCACGTGACTAAATCCACCTGACATCTTGGCAAAAGATATGGGGAACCACTAACCTTGGCAGCTGACCTTCCAACTCTAGAAGTCGAAGGCCAGCGAGAGACCTATAACTACAACCAAGGTCCGCAGTAGTTGTGCAGTGTTAGTTGACGGCGATTAATAGGTTATTTTATCAAGGTCATTGGCGTTCTGCTTTTTCCTTCGATTGGGCTAGAAGTTTTGTGGAGCAGTAAAGTGTCAATTTCGGAATCGCGTCTAGTGAGAAGATTATAAGAGTCATTGCTTATGATTCGCGCAAATTATTGGACTCTGAAAGACTACTTCGTCAGCAAGAAGGAAACTTTTGCTTGTGTTTGGGTTTGCGAGAAATGGTTTATTTAACGCTTTGACCGCTGTTTAATCTGCGTTCTTCTAATTTAACAGGGTTACTCATGGACGCACCAACAAAGGCGTTTCTGTCTGAACTTTTGACACAACCCTTTCGGTTCTCTTTGGCTCAGGCTCGTTCCCGTTCGCTGCTAGCGATCCGCTGCCCGAAGGTATATGGGGCTTGCGTTGGGCCGTCTGATCTCGTCCATGATGCCAGTGCCTGTTACTGTCTTTGCTCGTTCTTAAGACTTACCAGTGATCGTTACCTTCCGCACCACTACAATATCACTTGGCACAGCCTTGTTTTACATAGACCACGAAACTTTGACTATGGAATATCGAATAGATCAAATTAGTTGAATGCACCATTAGATTCTGAAGTCATCATTGTGTGCAGGGACTGTGATGCCAACTTGTAATCTGAAATTACTTTAAAAGTAGTCTCGAGTGTGAAGATCGCTGAGAAACAGACAAATCACGGATAATGCTAGCCTAACACTATGGTAGTAAGGACGAGAAAAAGGCAACATTTATCAACCAAAAGAGTTCAGATGATGTATATATCACTTTCACGTCAAACTTGGGGATTGGAAAAGCAAACTAGAAGTTTTGAAAACGAAATTGGACGTTTTGCAAACCAAACTGGATACTGAAATGCAAAGTTGAATTTGGGATACTGCTTAGTTTACGCAGAAAATCAGACATTTCTTACCAAAGTTTGATAAGTAAGGCGACTGGAGGATGTTTAGGCCACATTAATCTTATCTTTCCCCTTACTTTCTCATCTAAATGCAAGGATGATTTTGTGTGAACGATGCCTTAGTTATACATTGACACAATCGGCGTCACCACGCGGCCTCTGAGTACGGGCAATAGGAGGTTCGCGCGTTTCCTGCTTCTTGGGCGAGCCTGTGTTCACCACAGTTGGAGGTTGAACCCACTGGTCTATGAATATGCACTTCGCTTTGTCATGCGGTGCAGGTAACGAGAAATCGAGAGCGTAATCCTATCGGCCTGTGATCGTCGTGGCACCGCTGACGCGATGTAGCTAGTAGTGGCACTTCTTGAGGGCGATCTTTGGCCTTCTGAGAGCGTTGAAGACTGCAGTTACGAAAGGTGGATCCCGTTCACTTACAGCTGCTGCTGTAACTGCACCAAAACGTCACCTGTTATTTCCTGCCCAGATGCACTTAGCGATGGAACCTTCTCACCTATAGGCATTGATGATGTTTATTGCCGTGCTCTCGTTGACATCGGTGACTTAAGCAACTTCATGGGTGATTCTACCGTCGAGGAACATTAGCTTGGTAAAAGTATGTTTCTGCGTCAAAAACGTCTGCTTGCACTGTCGCAGCCTTGATGTTGCACCTACTCATCGTTAGTTACTCATTTCGATCTGTTCGTGTAGTAGTAAATTAATATGGATAGGCAAGCTTTGTTGGAGCCAAAACAGCATCTCTGTTCTCATAATCGCGCAATTACGCAGGTTCAGAAACACACACACATAAATACAAAATACTCGGACGCCAATAAGGAGACACCAGAATACTAGGTCACCGCCTATGATCAAGAGTAACGACGCTCAAGATCAAGAAAAGGGCTTGCGTTAAGGTTAGCTATTTGCACAATACGGGTTACACTAGCCTGAGCGCAATGTGGCCTGAACATAATCCAGCCATCTTACTCATTAAAACTTGTAAACAAACTGCTGATTTTCTGCGTAAAATAAGCCGTATCTAGTTGGAATTGAAAAATTTGCATGTTCATTTGCAAAACGTCTAGTTTAGTTTGAAAAACATCAAGTTGATTTGCAAAAAGTGCAGTTTAAAGTGAAACTGTATATATGCAACCAGGCATCTAAGCAGAAGACCTGCTATAGCCATAAGTTGAAATAAAACTAGTAAAACTTTAAAGATTCATAAAGGGAGGCGTGAAGAGAAGTAGCAGATATAAATTACTTCTAAATCCCAGACAGTGCTTGAGCAGACTCACGTAGATTCATCTGTGCCCAGTCTCTTCTCGCCTGCCTGATACAGAGCTTCCGCGTCCCGTCGAGCAGCTTGCATATCGACCGTTGGGCTCTCATCACGATTCGCCTGGAGCATACTGACAAGAAGACGTCTGAAATGACCAGAGGTGTCGCTGATCACATCTTTCTCCAAATCACGACCACGGAAGACTGTGAACAAAAGCAGTGAAAATTACACAGCTTATCGCACGGTGCCACAGGGTGCAAAAATAGTGTTTTGTGGGTGCTTTACGAGTGAGGTGCTCGTGCATTCAACCCATTATTTCAAGCTGTCGATCTTTGCATCGAAAGCTAATACACCCGTTTGCCTCCGTTCCGTTGAAATTTGCGTTCTTTTCATTTACAAGCTTTCTCAGTCGCATGTGACTAGCGTCAGATCAACATAGGTCATAGTAACTGAACCCGCCGCAATTTAATCCTCGAGTTATGGTTCTGACTGAACTGAAGTGAACTGTGCTCCAGATGTCTTATTGGCAGAGTCGATCGCGTAGGCCACTGCTTACGATGGGGACCTTGTTTTGTATGCCAGATGTAGGGTGACGCAAGGTGAGCAAAGGATAACTGGGCGACGGGAAATGAAGTCACTCGGTACCGTCGGTCTGTCACGCCTTCCAGGCTGGAGTCCACGTGACTCGCCTTGACTTGAGATGTTACAGGACATGGCTCGCAGTCGACACCAGTGGCGTGTCTCTTGTCGTCTCCTAGTCGGGCTGCCTGTTTAAAGCGTGTTTGGTGCTGAGTTATCTGTGGAGTAATGGTTGATTACGACGTGGGGCAGTGAAAGTCGCAAGGAAGCTGTTCCGCTGATGCCGCTTTATCCTTGCACTACATTCGGCTGTTTGTGACGGTATGTTGTTGATACAGGGTGTAGGCACCTCGACCCTAATGTTTGCTTAAGACATTATGGTTTTCCGGTAAGTTCCACTTCCCTCCCACTTATGCTTCTTCTTTCCGTAGGTCATTGGAATTGTACGACATCAAAGCATCGGTACGAATGTCTGATGTATTGCTGTTGGTGATGATGTTGATGACAGACGAATAATGCTTATCTGTGAGTGTTATCGGGACCTTGAGCATATAGCGGAACTGTTGTGCTTGCCGGTGCCATCGAACCAGGTTATCTGGACCAGACTCGGAGAAATTGTTATTATGAACGGGGACCCGGTGTGTGGAAGAGGTTATGGGAGCCGGACAACGTACATGATGCACCAAGGCTATGACTCCAATGAAGATGGAAATGGCCAATTTGAGGAGCTAAGCGATATGATGTGGCGTTGGTCGAAATTAAGGAAATTATGTAGGCAACACATCCGCGGCTGCTTGATAGCATTTACGATCCTCAAACGAAGGTGCAGAACTAAGGTCTGGTGATCTGTGATTTATTTCGCAATCTACGCGTTCTAACATGATTGGCGTATTACAAATGTAGTGGATCCATTGGTGTTGACCGGTGTCACTATAAAGTGCATAAAAGTAACCGACGAATCCAGGCAAAAGGTCAACCCAAAGTAGAAGATTAAAACATGCTTCAATCACCGGATGAAAGATTTAGGAATACAGTAAGGGCGTTGAAGCAACAGTGTCACTAAGAACGTCAGTGGGACATGTCCAACGAGTTTGGTGACTGTTTAACTGACCCCATTCAGTTAGCTAGTTGTTCAGTAAGACAGGTCGTTCTTGTGTGTTCTAGCATCAAACGAATCAAACGGAAAGCGTACCACCGATGAGTCCCGGAAGGGAGAAACAGCCGTCCAGCGATTTCTAGGACGTTTGATGGCCATCTGACTGCATTTAACCGCAATGAATGCAAAGCAAACAATTCATACCTCTTAACTACTTCCTTGTAAGGTGAGAAAATCTAACTACTGCAGTCAAATCTACTAGCGTCGGAGTCGACTGAACAACGGCACAGCCCAACTTCGTTGGACAGAAAAAAAGGCATCAGCAGTAGGCGGGTACGCATTATCGACGCTTCGCTACCACGCAACAATCACCAGTCGAACGTGGGCTGAGGATACTGCAAGGGTCGCCCTGCCCCTAGGCAGGCTCGAACCCGAGCCGCCAGATTACAGGACAAGCTATGTATCCTTAAGGCTACGGGTTGGACAGACACATTAATGAACGTGACATTCGTGTCACATCAAAACGGCAGAAGTCAAGTACGACATAAAAAGTGGTTCACATTCGATGCGTATATGCTAGAACAAACGTTGACGCAGAGAGAACATTCGTCCGGATAAGGTCACAGGCGAAAAAACGGAATGCTACCGATTGGGTGGTGTCCATGGCACCAACCATATGAGCATTGTTCAGAAACTGTACTTTGGAATAACCGGAATACGTTCTTGGGGTTAAGCCCGATTAGTAACGCAAATAATGCCAAGTGTTCAACTTGCAAGTGAGTCCTAACGTTGCATTAGTAGTATTCTTTGTGGTGAAAAAATTGAGATAAGCAACGCCAACGTCGATCCTAACGCTATGGACGAAAAGTATCTCATGCTGTGCTCAAGTGCCAGATTTAACTGAACCACAAGCCCATGTGGATAACGGTGCATCTAAAGCATTCTTTCTAATTCGCACATGTGCAAAAGCAACTGGTTCCAACAAGACGATGAGCCAATGAAAAGGAGCTCGTTCGCTACATCTTACATTCGATGTCTTCCGTGGGAATAATCTTTCAATTAACAGAATGTACATATAGTCAGTGGTTCAAGCCAACACACTTCTAGAGGCATATGATGTAGCGAGTATACCTGGTGTGGTCCCTCTGTTTTACCACCCCAAGCACCTGTATTTGACCAGACGATGAAAGTGAATCTCTTTTTATTTAACGCTGACCACTAAAACGTTATGAAATAGCCCGTAGAATTCTCCCAAATAGTAGTAACAGCCTTTCCTCTATGACGATGGAGCTGACAATACGTTTGTTTTATTGGAAGATATATCAGCTGACTAGTTAAAAATTCCCGGTGGACATCTGTGAAGTTCACCAGTCTTGTAAATGACGAAAGGTTAGGGACTACATATACGCAGCTACACACACACACACACAATATATTTCTGTGGCAATCAGGCTCCAAATGGAAAGAAAGTTAATTGCACCATTTTGTGTTGTGGGTGCCATACTCTACCCCTAGTGATTTCATCTACACTGAAGTGTGAACTTGGCCAGTGCTATTGCCAGGGGACAATTCGTGGTAATCGAAAAAGGTTCCCAAACTCAAGGACAGGGTTAAGTGGGAAACGTAAAATTGATGGTTGTGCTCAACGATCCCGAGGCCGTAATCGGTCCCGTTTTAGTTTGATGTGGCACGAGAAACCTTCCGCTTGTCCCACTGCGGTGGGACCCAAATAAAATCAACATCGACGACTCGCAGGCAGCAACAACAACAACAGTACATCAGCCATTTGAACTGATGCTTCGCTGCTATACAACTATAACGACCTACGCAACGAAGAAGAGAGTGAAAAGGGACTTACCGTGAAACCATAATGCCCTAAGCAAACATTCAGGGTCAAGGCGCCTACACCTTGTGTCAACAACATGCCGTCACAAACAGTTGGCTATCATGTAAACATAAGGCGGCATCGAGGAGACAGCTTCCTTGCGGCTTTCGCTGCTCCGCGTCATAATCAGCTATTACCCCGCAGGTAACTCACTACCAAATACACTTTAAACAGACACCCCGACTAGGATACAGTAGCGGACGAACCACTGGTGTCGGCTGCGAGTCATGCCCTGTAACATCTCAAGCCAAGCACAAGGTGGATAACGTGGACTCGAGCCCGGAAGGCGAAACGGACCGACGGCACTGAGTTTGGTAGTCAGTGATTTCATTTCCCGCTGCCAAGTCAACTTTTTTTCCACCTCGAGATTTGCGCCACCCTATATCCGGAAGACAAAACAAGGCTCTCTTCGGTAAGCGGTGTCCAGGCATACGTAATACGTGCACTAGCCAACCCGCAGCGTAGTGTTCAATCAATCCATACTTGCCGAATACAGTCAGTATTGGTGGCTAAATATTGCGCATATAGTGACAGTGGAAACGGCGGGTCCGGTGGCAGAATAGGGTTTATTTTCAATTTCACCATCGTTCAGGTTGCGAAAACGCAGGTCATGTCAGTCAAGATCGGTGGTTGGCGAAACGGGCGCTTTCATTTCTCTTACAGTGTAACACAATGAACAAAAACGTTTCCGATACACCAACTACTGCCTTTATGGGCAATAATGAGATGCATACAGCGGGATCTAAAAAGGTTGAGTTACCTGTAAACTTGCAAATGCAAGTCAGGACGAATGTCAATCAGAAAAATCCGTGGGCCTCTGATTATGGGGTCAAAGAGCCAGTAGCCCAGAACTGTCATCAACGAGCAGCGAACCAGTTGTTACGTCACTTTTCATAACAAAAACAAAACTCTGTGCTGGATTACTCACTCCTTGCATACGCCTCTTTCACTGCACGAATCTGTTCATTTGTCCGCGTACACAGAATCTCAATTAAGGCGTCTTCATCTGTGCCCACTCCTTTGACAGCCTTCCGCAGTTGCACAGCGTCGAAATCCGCCGAAGAGTAGCATAACGCCTGCACACATTCGTAGAAGTGTCCACTCAGTTCGGATCTGAATTCTTCGATCAAATCTTTGCCATACATGGTCTTGAACTGTTGAGCAATCTTCAACCGCTGTTCGACAGAACGATGGCCCATAATGTCGATAATTGTCTTCTCATCGGTGCCCATGCCTTTCATTGCTTTACGCAGCCGCTGACAATCCTCGGACGCTTTGAAGTTTGGAGAAGGCTTGAGGGTAGGGGCATACTGATGGGAGAGAGAGAAGCAAACATGTCCCCAGTAAACAGGGTACACAATTTACTCCGTAGCACTTCCAACATGAAAAACACCACAGTGAACTGGCTGAAGGCTCAAAATTGACGACCAAACACGGAAGTCACCGGCTCCGACCAAAATATTAGTTGCACAAAGGCTGGTGAAGTCGCCGTCTGCAGTGGCCAGATCTACTCGGGGTTAAAGCTTACCAGCGCCCCTACGTGAAGTGGCTTCAAGTAACTTGGGAGGATTCACCCAACATTGGCAGCGCAGCGTGTTCTAAAGGTGCATATTTGTTCGAAAAGTCTTCTGTAAGGTAAAGACTAACGTGTACTTGACCACTGTTCTCCTAAGAGGGGGCATTACATTTTGTAACGGTAATTTAAACAAACGCCTGGGATGAAAGTGTGCATTAGGGGTAACACATGACAGCACACAACGGATCGTCGTGAGGTAGGAAGCGAGACCAGTCGGTCACACTGTTGCTGTCGCTGCGCTGGTCGTTTAGCGACCTTCTGAGGAGGCTCAATAGAATTAACCACATCCACCTCGTGACAGTAAATGACAAAGGTACTTTACCGAGCCGATCAGGTGAAAACAAATAAGATCGAGTGAGCTGATTCGAAGGCCCATATTACATCAACCCTGCCTCCATCCCAAGTTGATCTCGTTCGTTGTTAAGCTTACACTAATGGGGAGCGAGGGAGCGGAGTGGTATATAGTATGGTTCAACGATTAACCGCAATTCCGGTAATTAAGGCAAATAAGTACGAATGGCTAGTACTGAAGGTCTAATAAGATCCAGAGTCCTCATTTTGTACTACACTAATTTTGAGGCAATGAAGGCAGGGGCAACCTTGGGATAAAAAAGCTATTCTCACTCAACAGTGAGTTGTGATGGGTTGAGTCTGTCGCGCTGGCGTCAAAGTAGCAAGAAGGAGAAACAGATTGTTCCGTACATAAGTATAAAGTGGTGGTGTTAGCAGTATACCTGTAATTGGACTTGCGAAACCGAGGTATGGGAGACAAAAGCTCAAGCTGTGGGCAGCAGCAGTGATTAAATGTGGTTTGAAAACACACCTAAATGCGCAATTCACATGACTTACAATGTCTTCGTGTGGAGCAGGTTGACTGGGAAGCACAGTGCCAACTTGGTATCCACCCTGGCTAGGTTGTGGTGCACCGTGAAAACCATACACATTCGTTGGAAACCCGCTGGGCGTCGGATTAATTGGATAGCTCGATCGAGCTCCCGTGGAAGCGTGCGAATCAATTGGGTTGGCCGAACCGTACCCCACATCCAACGGATTTGGGTAACCAGGTGGATTGGGACGGCCTCCAGGTGCGTTTGTAGGATGGTTAGGAGCCGGGTAGCCGGGAAAGGCGTCCGAATAGGCGGATCCCGGAAAAGTGTTCGCTACGGCAGGATATGAAAATCCCACCGCTGGTTCTGCGTTATAGGGACCTGGAGGTCCTGGTGGGTACCCGCCTGAGGCCGATCCAGGGTACGGACTTGGATAGGGAACTGAAGAGGAACTTGGTGGAAAGCATGTCGGGTCGTTTGATGGACTACCGACATTCCATGCCGATAGATCGTTAGACGGGTACATAGACGAAGACCAAACAACCACAGTACGCTTAGACCGATATTGAAACCAAAACAACGCTGTACTACTCTTAAGCAGAACGCTTAAGCTAACCACCAATAAGGCATCAGGGTTGCGTTCGCGAGTGGCAGCGTGGGCGGCATCATTTCGCCAATCAGATGTGGGCATGACTTAACCAGTCGATAAGCCGATGCATCTGTCGTCGTGACCATCGTCGCGCATGTGCCCCTACGCTTTCGGCGGATTCGCAGTGTGCAAAAGGAAGAGCTTACCTGTACTTCCTCAGCCATGTGATTGGAGTGTGGGGATTCTCTGTCCGTTTCGTCAGCGGTGTTTACCGTAGACTCGTGATCCATACCGGAGATGCGATCTTCTCCTGTGCTTTCCTAAAACGGGGAGAAGGGAAATCCATGCAGTTGCCGTATGGTGTATATTACGGTCATTCATCCCCTGTATGGGAGACCATGCAGCGTAACATGTCGATCACTGCGAAATTTGGGCTACTGGCACAAAGGGTGATTACCAGAGCCTATGGATTGCGAAGTTGAATGACGCAGCAAGTTTTGCCCGATTCCCAAGACAAGTGGCCAGTCCCTGTTTACCGGACGGGGCTACCACAACACTGGCGTCATAATAGATTAAATAATTAAGCTAAAGATAGATGCGAAATTAGAAAACCGTTGCTCGGACCAGTGACTGGGGGTATCGTGACACGTTTGAGTGTGACTCAGTCGCGCAAGTGCCCCAAACAGTGGTGCGAATACCACTGGTTCAGTGCCGATTAGGGTACGGAGGAACCGCAGAGGATCAACAACACCCTAAGAGCAAATGAGTACCCGGAGAAATTCGTCCCCAAAAATCTGAAGAACGCAAGAGGTGACCACCGGGGATGGGTGTACCAAATAAAGATCCCTTTTTGTAATTCCTATTCGAAGGCAACACTACCGCTGATGATCTGTCCAAACGCCTGAGAAACGCTGGTGAGAAGACCTATTTTGCGACTACCTTGCGTATGATATACTACAACAAGGTTTTACACGTATAACCTGATGGATAGGCTGCCTCCGTTGATTCGACCAATGCTTGTTTATCAGTACTCGTGCTCCTGTGGTACACAATACGTGGGTTGCACTACGAAGCGCTTATCTCACATAATTCGTGAATACACAGAAGCGATTTTACAGAGGCAAGGGTTTCCAATATCTCCATCATGTCGCACTTCCCCAAGCATCATCACAGGCTCTGAAAACTATTGAAGAATCATCTACTCCATTCCTGAGCGTTTCTCGCGCGGTTTCAGGGAAAATATAGCAATTGCTGAAGCTATACATCCGACACCTCGTGCCGGAGCTGCGCACACAAAGGCAGTTTGTATGCTCTCTATTTCTACCGTGACCTACCACTATTATTACGTAAACGTTTAACAGTTAACCCTAGTTAACCTCTCATTGGCCGTGAAATTGATGTACGTAGGTATGCTTCCCCTGTACTCAACTGCCTTCGGTGGCCGCGTGATTTATCAAATCGACCGTTGAATTAAACACGCTAATGTATAATCAGCCAAACTCATCTAGTGTAGCATATAATCCCTTCTATGTAAAAGTCTGTCTTATGAGAGGCTGACCTCAGTTTGATTCCTACTATTAGATGGCAGTACGCTCAAGACGATCTTTGGGCCGATGTGAAGAAAAAGAGCAAAGTGTTAGTCGGCTAACACATCTCCGCTACATAGAATAGCCGTATCAGTACTCTCTTCTATAGCGCAAAATGCATCTAGAACTAGAGTAACACGTGTGTAAATGAGTAACTAATCCAGAACAGCCGGTTGAGTAAATCACGCCACTTTTAGCAACTGTCTTGTGCATTTTTATGATCCCCTGAGAATAGCGACTACCCACTGATGGAGTGTGACAGGTGTAAGTGGAATTGTTCCGAAACGGTCAACCCGGTTTGTCGCTCCGCTTTGAGATGCAACGCAGTCATTACCTCTATGTCCTACTCTTTCGTAGAAGCGGTGGGATAAAGTGCGGTCTTTGAAAAGCTGGAGACTGCGCATTGCCCAGTGCGAATCGGTACGGTATTTCGTGCTTACCTATGGTATTTGGAACGCTGCTTAATCGCATCATCATCTGTGGCTAATTGTAATGCCACGACTCCCAGATGTATTCGGATCGAGCTCTCACGTCTGCACGGATCCCAATTAGGGTATCCTACAAAGGGGGGTGGGTTAAGTGCCGTTCCATACTGTTTTCCTGGGGTAACCGGGTTCATCATCGATAATTGCACAGAGGGTAGAAGCAGTCCAATTGCATTCAAATGATTTTGAGATTCGACAGGTAGGAACCCAACCTACACTGCCAGGCGCTCAGCGCAGCATCCTAAGAGCAAAAGTAGTAGCAGTAGAGTAGACGGTAACCAATTCAGGCATTTAAACAAAATAGGAACTATCTAGCATTCTAGACGCACCTAGCATCTTAGTTATTTATCATTGCAGACAGCCTAAGTGCACTGTTACATGACTGTTAGCTGATGAGGTGTTAAATATATAAAAGCTGATGTAGTGGTGTTATTCGGCACTGTTTCAGCCTGTGCTTATACGGTAGATTGCGCAATGTTTTGATGTCACCGCGAACCAGAGCTCAAGCAGTAGTCGATGTCTATTCTCAAACCTCATTAGGGCTTGCGATCGCAAAGTTGGGTAGCACTTGCTTGTACGAACAACTATACTTCGTGATGAAATGTTCGAACGGGCTGAGCCGTCAGCACATTAAAGATCACCTTAATTATACTCTGTTGCTGGGCCAGTTATCATTAAAACAAGACCTTTCACATAATAATAGTAATAATAATAAAAATAATACGTAGGTTTCTCATGATCCGAAAAGCTGTGTCTGAAGCGGCACAGATCAATTTGTATAAATGTAACCATGCCCTTGCGATACAATTTGAATAAGTGGAATAATAGGGCAAGAGATTCCCGTAATAAACGTTTGGTGGATGATTAAAGCGAAAGCCGTGGGGAAACAGATGATTAGACGTATGGCACCTTCTCTCGGAATAGCTCATCCAGGGATAGTTTCGTGAGAATGTGTTTATAAGTTATTCAGTTAAAGGTAAATTGTGAGGTTGTTAAAAAATGTTATCACATTGGTACATGTGAGCGTCAAACCACTTTTAAGTCTTGAGTGAACGCGTTTCCGCCGGTTTCAACAAAACAACACCGGAACTGGAATACGGTACTATTGACAATCAAGTAAAAACAACTAATATACAATACCTCAAGAATCTGCGCTTCCGGCACGGACGCTCTGACAACGTCAACGGTCAAAAATAGCCAACAAGTATGGCTTCAAGACGCACGTGGGAATGAACTCGTCTCAGTGCATTGTGGCTTAAAACGGGCTTACACAGGACCAATCAGAAAGAAGGGAGGCTACCATGAGCCGTGGGTGTGAGAATCCGCACATTACACACAGTTATGGCATTGTGAGCCAATGTACACAAAGGGGAACAAAACAGTAGGCCTATCAAACCAAAAGGTTTCAGTGTGTGACCTTCATTCACAACCACATTGTAATATTGTCAGGTCACATGCAGTGGTGAGCACAGTGGATAGACTGAAACATTATAAGTGCATCGGGCGTTACCATGTGCATCGATATTGACTTGTTCCAAGTAAAAAGTAGGTCAAACGTGATTGAATGTATGTCATCCACATGCGCAGTGCAAAATGCAACAAATCCAACCTCGGTAACCCAATGTGCAAAAAAACCAGAAACAAAAGAGTTGGGACAAGGATCAGTTGAGTACATGATAATGACAGCCAGGGGATCATTGAACGGGATGGTATCACAGGACAGGTCATACGGGATTTTTCCACATGACTTGAATGTGATTGGTAATTTATTGCAATCAGACTTGATAAATTTGAGCGGAAGCTTATTATAGTCTGGTTAATGTATAATTTTGTTGCGATTCTCGTGTGTTAGCTATTTTGCATTTCGAGTGTAGGCAGATCGGACTAGGTCCTTTGTTCAGCAGGTTTTATATCAACTACAAGCTATGCCTCATTTGTCCAGGCCATAGTGGTTCGAGATGAATTTTTTGCAGCGCTATTGATAAAGATTTGTTACCGAACATCTATTTACTAAAAGACTTCTGCAGGCATTCCAGAGTAATGCTGTCGCTCTTTCTAATATTATTGCATATTATAATACAGTACTCGAGGATGAGGCCGATGAATAGGTTAGAGAGCACAACTAGCATGAGTTGTGTGGATTTTGTTGGATTTTATAAACACAGATTGTCTAGCACATGCTACATGGTAATGGGCCCGCTCAGAGAAGTTACAGGTGGATGAGTGCCTAATTCCGCGATCGCGCGTGCATGGCGGTATAGGGACGTTACTCTTTCTGTGTAATAGATCTCTCGGGGATGGAAAAGCCGTGTGACTTGATGCTTGATTTATTAGCCGACAGGTTTATCATCCACCTGGCATCATGATTCAATGGAATATAAGTCATCTGGAGTGCGTAGAAGCGTTCCGTGAGGTTCGCCCTGCCAAATGTTATGTACGATCTTGATATCCTCAGCTAATAAAAATGGCCGACCATGTTTCACATATGTGTTGATGTCATCACTGTAGAGCGGAGACAGTGAAGAACCGAGTACGCTCCCTTAGATTACTCAAGTTTACCAGTGATTGGATGATGGTGACATAAAGCACGATTTCTGGTCTACAGTGTACCTTCTTGATCTCGAATACTATTAAACTGAAGCTATGAACAGTGAGCAGTGAGTTTATACAAGTTAAGAAGCACTGCATTACAAGTCGTGTTGGGTGGTCTGGTGGGTTATCGAAACAAGTAAATAACATACTGTTAGTTATTTAGGTAGCAAACGTCGGACTTATCGTTATTCATGTTGTAGTCCTACACTCCGCGTAGTTTCAAAACACCAACAGGTGACAACTAATAAAACCGAGGTATTTCCCAGGAGCAGGAAGAGGAGATAATGCTGGGTAACAAAATGTAAGTGGTTGAGTTCGTCATACAACCGGGTTTTAAATACGGTGTGTCGGTGAAGAAACGATCGAGTCGAAGAGAGCGTTCCACGGGTGGCACACGCGGACAGAAAAGATACTTGTACGGCACACCAGACGGCTGTACTGTACTGCTAATTTCAAGGATTGGCCTCTCAACTTTGTGTTACTGCTGTGTTGCAGTAAAGAGCGGCAAATCTAACTTGGATTGTGTAAAACCCAGTATGCTATTGTCAAGTCACCTCCTAATCAACAATACCTTGGGCTGAATAATTCCAAACGTTTCAGCCGGTGTTCGTAGAGTAGATTGCACACTCCATTGGAGTACTTGGATACCCGACATTGGGGTTGTTCAGAGAAGTAGGGTCGTGTTTCAGCCATGGTTGCCAGGTTTGTATAGCTTATTGGACATAGCGAGGAACATACGCATTGAACATGTATCGGCAAATCGAGATGTCTATTTTTGAGAGCGCTCATCTTAACAAACCTACGTGTTGGATGCCAGATTTCGATGCCCTTCGGATTGCTTGGAACAATCCAAGTCATTCAGAACTAGCACGCGCAGGTAGCATTCGACGGAAGATCACTGCTATACTTACCTTCCTAGCCTGTGGCAGTAGATGCTCTGGTGCCGTATGGAGAGCATTTTGCATTTGCTCGCCCAAAACTGTAGTAAATGTTTGGTTCACCACCGACGCACCGTGTCTAGGTTCCTCTGAAGCCCGTGTTATTCGCCATTCACCAGAATTCTGAGCCTTATCTTAATGCCATCGGCAGAGAGTAGTAATCCGAAAAGATTGCCTAGGTGAGACCAGTACTAAATACTAAAACAATCGTGGCTGTAGGACTGAGCCTCGAAGTAAACCACACTCGACTTGAATGGGGTCAGATAATGTGCTCCGGACTCTGATCACTAATTGTCGTGGACGAAGAAAATTGTCGATCCAGTTTAAGACAGGGTCCTTGGTTCCGAGATACTGGAGCGTGAAAAGTACCCGATGACCTAGATCATCAAATGCCTTGGAAAAGTCTAAGTAGATCATGTCAGCCTACACTCCAGCGTCATTCGACGAGGTTTAACTACACCGTGCTAGTGATGAATTCGTTGGCCACGATCGCTGTCGACGGAAGCCGTGTTGCTCGGAAGCAATAAGGTTGCAATTTTCCAGATAGCACACCAAGACGTCAGCAATGGTGAAGTCCATGGTCTTGGAAAAAACAGGCAGGAGAGAAACTGGACGATGAGGGCTCAGTTATGCATCTGGTTTTGTGAATCGGAGCTATTATTCTGCTTCCACATGGTAGGAAACTGATTCTGATTTCAGCAGCTCTGGAAGAACTGAGTAAAATGTTAGGCCAGTTGTGTTGCTGCCGCTCCCATTGCTTCTGAACGAGTAGTACAGACACCAGGGCAGCTGTGGTTAAGCAGCTACGTCAGCTACTGTAGTAGATCTGCAGCGGTAAGTAGGTGAGTCGTGGCGGAGGGCAACAAAAGTTGGGAGATCGTCTCATGGTAAATGCTATGAAATGTGGGAGAATATTGCATCCGCAACCCCTTTTACTGCTTTTACAGACGTATTTGCTGAATTATCAGCCGTCTGGAGTAGAGCAGTTCCCTGCCACATCATACAAAGGCTATCGACATGCATGCTTAGCAGCCTGTGGTTAGCTCTAAAAGTTTTCGTTCTATTTTGCCGATATGTGGCTTCATGCTCTCTGAGAACCAAGTTAAATGGTCACCTTGGTCTACGTGGTCATCCTAAGTTTTTGGCGTGAAAGGTAATCTAGACGCTAACCAGCTGCGTTGCGCATTAACATCCAATTTGAGTTCTGCTCCTCACGAAGGAAACTGTTCTAGGCCCATTGCAAACTCCTGTCCCTGAAGCGTCTGTAACCAGTTGATTGAATTCCTTGACGAATTTGAGGCAGGCAAGGAACGATCAAGTTGTGGCATGGAAAAGCTGGGCTAGGTAGTAGTAGCGTGGGATAGTACGCACTATCACGGGTATCTCATGAGAATATTTCGCATAGCAGACTAAGTTAATACTATTGATTGCATGAGCACTGCGGCCAAACGTACCGTCTAAAAACAACATATCATTCATAGGTTCCGGGTTGGTAAGCAGAGGATCTTGCACAGATGGTCTGCTACTTGTTCTGTAACCAGAGCGCAAACTGACGTGGTTGCAAGGTGAATCACTGGTACCGAGCTCTGACAGATCGGATGTGAATGGTTTCTCGGTCTTGGCAGGAGTTTTTAAGCAATGTAAGTTGAAACCACTCGTGATAAGGATGTGAGTGTGTTTTCCGTTTGGAGTGCACCTTAAAGCTGTCTCAAAGTAGCAGTGCATTTCGGGTGTAGAGTTTGGGGGACGGTGCAACTTTTAACTGCAGGCAACACCAAATAGAATGGGGGAACTGCCAGTCGGAATCACTCATGGCCTCGCATCGTAAGTCACTTCGGTAATACAGAATTACTCCACGTCCTTTCGGAACATTGTCTTTACGGATGAGCGACATGCCCGACAACAAGACTTCAGCGTCGGCCATTCCAACTTGCAACTGTGTCTCAGTGACACCGATGATGTTGCATGGCTTAGAAACTTGGCAATCCTTCAGTTCGGCGGGCTTATTGAAAAGACCATGAGCACTGGTATAAAACAGCCTAGTTGCTCAGTCTCTAGGCGCCCCAAGGGCGCTAAATGAGTTAGGTGTGTGAGAATGTCGACCGATGTGATGTAGGCTGTTGTTCGATATTTTGATAGGATACTAATAAGTCGGCAGCTTGATTTGGCCAAGGTACCCCCTTTCCTCGTCCAGGCTGCACTACAAATCTCCGACTAGCACTATCCAGCTAGACCGAATCGATAGACACTAGCAGTGGAGTTTATGTGGTTTTTCTCGGATTATCAAGAGTTCTCGACCACTATGACCATGAGATTCTGCTGTCCAAACTTCAGACCTTGAATATTGACAATGCTGCCTTAGCGTGGATCATAAGCTTTCTACTACACCGGCGCTTCGGGGTAAGATTGCGTGATTCACTATCGGATTTCATCCAAGTTAAATGTGGAGTACCACAGGGATGGACACTAGGGCAACGGTTATTTTCGATGTACACCAGTGATAGCCCACGCCCCATAAACTCGAAGTGCCGGCTTTATGCCGATGACATCAAAGGGTGGAGGGCGATCCATACACCAGAGAATATCACGGTACTTCAAGTCGAGCTGGATAGGATTTCAAATTTGTCAACCCATAATCTACTTCGATTCAATGTGGACAAATGTAGAGTGATGCAGCACATACGGAACCAAGTGGTATGCTCATACAGACTCGGCAACCAGGAGCTTCAAAGGTCGTGTGACGAAAAGAATCTGGGCACTTAGGTCCAGGCCGAGCTTATATGTTCGAATCGGACTGGACAGGCATCAAGAAGGGGTATGCAACAAGTGGACCTCCCGAGGCGTGCATTCGGACGATAGACTCTTTGATTTTGCAACAGCTCCT